ATGCTTCGAAACGTGAGCAATACTCAGTGGTTACGTGCCGCTCCACGTGCATCACTGGGGCCTCACCCTTGATGCCTCGGCCCTTGACGACCATGCCACTCTTGGCATGCAGCAATAGCTTTGATACTTGACCAGCACTCAGTGAGTTTCGTGCCACTCCACGTTCAGCCCGCGAGGCATACTCGAGACTCTTGTCCGAAACACCTTTGGTGTTCATTAACTCGGATACTCCGATATCCAGCTGTTCACCGTCTCGTTCCAGTGCCCGCGCCAATAGCGTTTCTGCCTTTTTTCAGAGGTTAATTCATGACTCACCCAAGCTCCGCCAGGAGACGTGCGCGTAGCGCAAAAGGTCTTCGACCTCCATTCAATCCATGACTCATGGTGTTTCAACCATGCCATACCAAGGATGAAGTCAAACCTTGCATCCAAATTTGAGAGTAAGTAGTGTTCGATGCTATCAAAGTAAAAAATTTGACCTTGAGGTCCACAGGAACCTTCGGCACCATGACACATGTCCCCGTGTCACTCAACCGCGCATTCAACGCCTCAGCATACAGCTGACTTCTTTTAACCGTGGAGTCAAGCATAATGGCACGACGTCCCGGAGTCGATCAGAATCTTTCATGGCCCCTCAAAGCCCTTCTCGGTCGCTTTTGCGACTAGCAAGCCCGGCTTGCATACACGTTCTGTGTTCAAGAGCACGAATCTCTTCGGGGCTAGGCCCTGGTGACCTGTACCTCCGTGAGGCTCAACGAAACTCAGTATTTCTCCAGTATGCCTCCTCGCGCCTTCTGGGTGTTGTCGTTTCCCCGTGACAAACCAGAAGTCTGAAGAGAAGCGGGACGTCGGTTTGATGAACTCTGATCGCGGCTTGTACAGGGGATAACCGATCCGGACGTGATGGGCGTCTCCACAAACAAAACACTGTCGGGCGTTTGAAGGCTTCTTGGCAGCTCAGATCTCAGCCTTCTCGTCCTCAAGATTTTTGAGATCCATCGGCTCAGGCCCGCTCGACGAGCTGCTATTGTAT